AGTGGGTTAGTCATGGTAAAAATGTGGGGTTATGGGATAGCATAGGGGGCAGGATTTGGGTGGGATGCTCCTCAGAGGGTCAATGCAGAGCTAATGGGCCAAAAGGCCTCTTTTCACACTATAGGGGCCCGTGTTAGCAGCTGTCTCCTGTGATAGCCCATGATGAACCTGAGGCATAAAGTATCCAAGGCTGAAGTGAATAGGTTAGGTACTGGCAGTTAGATCACAAATGTAGTCAATGCAGACACAATTCCTTCGACAAACCAAATGTAAATGAACCACTACCTGTATATGTGGATCTTTCTTATTCAATCAGATGACAGTGTCACTGGCTCATCCCTAGTTGCTCTTGAGAAGTCAAGCTGCTTGCTTGAGATGCTTAAGCTCATTTGATGTAGGTGGACCCACAGTGTTGTTATGGAAGTGACCTCCAGGACTTTGACTGAGTGACAATGAAGGAATGGCTATATGTTCCCAAGATAAGATGGCGAGTGGCTTGGAGGGGAACCTGCAGGGGTTGGTGTTCCCATGTAAGTGTTGCCCATGTCCTTCTAGATGGTAGAAGTCCTAGGCTAAGAAGGTGCTGTCTAAGGAGCCTTGGTGATGGTACACATTGCTGCTACTGTGCATCAGTGGTGGAGGGAATGAATACTTGTGGATGTGGTGCAAATCAAGCGAGCTGCTTTGTTTTGGATGGTGTCAAGCTTCTTGAGTGTTAGAGCAGGACTCATTCAGGAAAATGGGTAGCATTCCATCACACTCCCCAACTCGTGCTTTGCAGATGGTAAACAAGTTTTGAGGAGTCAGGAGGTGAGTTACTCATGGCAGGGTTCCTAGCCTCTAACCTCCTCTTTCTGCCTTGTATTAACATCACTAGTCCAGTTTAGCTGATAACCTCCAAGATGTCAATAGTCGGGAATTTGGCAATGGTAATGGCATTGAATGTCAAAGAGTATTATAATATTCTCTCTTGTTGGTCTTGGTCATTGCGTGGTACTGTGCAATGCAAGTGTTACTTGACAATAGCAAGCTCAAGCCTGGATGCTGCCCAGCTCTTGCTGCATATGGACATGAACTGCTCCAGTAATATATTACTCAAATAATGCTGAACATTGTGCATTGATCAGTGAACATGCCCACTTCTGGTCTTACGGAAGGCAGGTTATTCATGAAGCAGTGGAAAATATTTGGGCCTAGGACACTACGCTGAGGAACTCCTGCAGAGATGTCCTGGTGCTGAGATGACTGTCTTCCAACAAGCACATTCATCTTCCTATGTGTCAAGTATGACTCCAACCAGTGGAGAATTTCCCCCTCATTCTCAGTGACTCCATTTTTGCTGGAACTCTTTGTTGCCACACTTGGTCAAAAGTATCCTTGATGTCAACGGCAGTCGCTTTCACCCACCTTCTGGAATTCAGCTCTTTTGTCCATGTTTGAACAAAGGCTGTAATGAGGTCAGGAGCTGAGTGGCCCTGGCAGAACTCAACTGAGCGTCAATGAGCAGGACATGGTTAAGCAAGTGCTGCCTGATAGCACTGTTGATGACCCCTTTCATCATTTTACTGATGATCAAGAGGAGACTGTGGGGGCAGTAATTGGCCTGGTTGGACTTGTCCTGCTTTTTGTGCATAGAACATACTTGGATAATTCCCACATTGTCAGACTAATGTTGTAGCTGTACTGGAACAGCTTGACTAGGGTCACAACATGCTCTGGGGCACACACCTTCAGTACTACTGCTGGAATAAAGTCAGACCCCATAGCAGCATGCAGAATATTGCAGTATCGAATGTCATTATTCCCTGATACTACATGCAGTTAATCAAATTGGCTTAAGGTTGGCATTCATGTTACTGGAGATATCTGAGGAGGCTAAGATGGATCATCTGCTCAATACCTTTGGCTGAAGATTGTTACAAATGCTTCAGCTTTTTCATTTTGCACTGATGTGCTGGGCTCCTTCATCACTGAGGTGGGGATATTCATGGCACCTCTTCCTACAATGAGTTACATAATTGTACTCCACTATGCATGATTAGATGTGGCAGGACTGCAGAGCTCAGATCTGATCCTATGGTTGTGGATTTACTTAGCTGTTTATCATTTTCTGTTTATGGTGTTTGACACAGAAGTAGTACTATGTTTTATCTTGACACCTCATTTTACAAATATGTTGTCTTGCACTCTTCATTGAACCAGGGTTGATGTTAATGGTAGAGTCGGGGATATTCTGTTCTTGAGGTTGTATATTAAGTTTGAGTACAATTCTGCTAGTGCTGATGGCCTTCATAGCATATCACAGAAGCTACATCTTAAATTGTTAGATCTGCTTGAAAACTATTTCTTTAATAGATTAAAAAGTCAAACCAAATGTAAAATATTAAGTTATTAATTTCTCATAAATTTTCAAGATGAAATAGCAATTTTATATCACACTTGTAGAACCCTAAAGCTTCACAACAAGGTGTTAGCTTTGATGGATTTTAATAAAGGTCATTGATCTGCAACACTAGCTCTGTTTTTTTCTCCATAGATACCTGTTGAATATACCCAGCATTTTGGTTTTAATTTCAGATTTTCAGAATTTGCAGTAAGGAGATTGTAAGGAGGTGCCTCTTCCTTGTTGTCACTGTACCTTTTAGGTTGCTAAATTTTGTCACCTTGTTCTACCATAAGGCTCCTAAGAAAGGCAAATGGAATCCTGGCATCTATTGCAAAAGGTCTAGATTATAAAAGTAAAGAAGTGTTGTTACAATTATATAAGGTTTTGGTGAGGCCACATTTGGAATATTGTGTCCAGTTTTGGTCTTCTTACTTGAGGAAAGGATGTCGTGTCACTGGAGGCAGTTCAGAGGAGTTCAGGTTGATTCCAGAGATGAAAGGGCTGTTTTATGAGGAGCAATTGAGTATCTTGAGCTTATAATCATTGGAGTTCTGACAAATGAGGGGGGTTTTCACGGAGGTATATAAAATGCTAAAGGGGATTGATAAGGTGGATGTTGAACATTTGTTCGCCCTTGTGGGACAATCTCAAACAAGAGGCGATAGATATGGAGTGAGAGGAGGTAAGTTCAAAACTGAGATGAGGAGAAACTATTTCTCTCAAAGGGTTGTGAATCTGCAGAACTCATTGCCCCAGAGTCAGTGGAGGCAAAATCAATCAACAGATTCAAGAGAGAAGTAGAGATATCACAGTGTAGAGCTGGAGGAACACAGCAGGTCAGGCAGCATCAAAGGAGCAGGAAAGCTGACGTTTCAGATCAGGACCCTTCTTCAGAAAAAAGGTTTTCTGAAGAAGGGTCCCTCTGAAGAAGGGTTCCGACCCAAAATGTCAACTTTCCTGTTCCTCCAATGCTGCCTAACACAGCTCCACACTGTGTTGTCTCTGACTCCAGCATCGGCAGTTCTTACTATCTCCAAGAAAGCAGTGGGTATGTTTCTAAAGAAAGGAGGGATAAAGGACTATGTGGAGCAGGTAGGAAAGTGGAGTTGAGACCAGGATAAGATCAGCCACGATCATGTTAAATGGTGGAGCAAACTCAAAGGCTCAAATTGCCAACTCACGTTCCTAATTCCTATGTTTCTACACTGTGCTCTCACATAATTTCAATATACCATAATATCTTTCTGTATTTTCTCACTCACTGTGAGAATTTACTTCTCACTTACTAGCCTGCATCTCTCATCATGCTTTCTTACACAGGATCACTCTTTTTACTTCACGTTGTTTGTTCCATAAAACTCCCCACATTTTTCACACACCCAATGTAGCACAGTTGAATAGAAAATGGAACAAGTGAATCTTTATCACTCAAATTCGATCCAAAATGGGATGTCCATTTTTTATACAAAATTACTGTATGTACATAATAATAGTGGTTCCAGTGTTGAGTAGAGTAGTTCACATTACCGTTTACAACATGGCATGACAAATCAATTCCTCTAATAATGAATTATTCCATGTTAGTTGCCCATGGTAGTTAGAAAATGAATAATCTGCACTCAGACAATACATTGTTCGATATCCATTTGATCTTCTTTAAGAATTAATGTTTTAACAGTAATTCATTAAATTGTATGTCTGCATTGTTTGTCAAGCTCCTTTTCTCTGCTTCCACGTCCTACACATTTTCTCTATTTTATTCACTACGTGCTGTTGGTTTCCTTAATTGAGTAACCATGAAATCCGGAAATCACATTTATCTCAACTTCTTTATTTCCCAATAGACCACCTTGGTTTTGACTCCATCTATCTCTGCTTCTCTCAGATAAATCGTCAGGCTAAATTCAGGAGGGAGAGAAATGAGCAAACTTGCAGGTGCAGATGCAAGCCGTTTTAAAAAAATGCTGCCTTGGTCATCAGCACTTCTTTTGTCAGAAAAGTAACAATAATTAACAGGAACAATAAAAAGACAAAAGAGTAGATCTATGAGCAGTAATTTCTCTCCTGTGTTGTTCGTTAGTTTTTAGCTGTCAAATTAATTGCCAGAAGTGCTAGCTCAAGCATCCCACGCAGTCTGCCTACACAGCTGAAGTGATAATCTCATTGTAATTAAGGTTTAAAAAACATTTTTCCGTATTTGCTAATGAGAATTGGCAATATAATGATGGACAAACAACAAAATGCAAACAGTAGATAAAAAGAAAACAGGCATTAGTTGAGGCTTGATTAAAAATATACGGTAATTGCCTCTATATGTTCCAAAATAATCCAAAACCTTACGGACTCCATTGCATTATTTTAGTTACTTTTCTTAACAATATCCTGTATAGATTTTATATTCTCTGCCTGGACTGTTTGCACTAAAGTGCCTGCTTCTGTGCTGTATAACTCTATGAGTAAATTACTCTTGAATTTGAAATTGATGGGTATATCGAAATTCTGAACCCATTTTGCTACAATTTATTTTGTTGGTTACCATTCCCTAAGCCTAAGAAATAACATGAGCATTTGAACTTGGGTTACTCGAGACTCAAATTTTCAGAAGCTTTCTTACCTCGTAGGTGAGTTGCTATGTATTCCTTATTAAGAGAGATCTTCCCAATGACATCATCATATCTGAAAATTTTAAATAGAAAGCATTTCAGTAGATAGTAGGAACTGCAGATGCTGGTGAATCTGAGATATCAAGGTGTAGAGCTGAATGAACACAGCAGGCCAAGCAGCATCAGAGGAGCAGGAAAGCTGACGTTTCAGGCCGAGACCCTTCTTCAGAAATGGGGGAGGGGAAGGGGGTTCTGAAATAAATAGGGAGAGAAGGGGAGGCGGATAGAAGATGGATAGAGGAGAAGATAGGTGGAGAGGAGACAGACAGGTCATAGAGGTGGGGATGGAGCCAGTAAAGGTGGGGAGTTAGGGAGGGGATAGGTCAGTCCAGAGAGGACGGACAGGTCAAGGGGGCGGGATGAGGCTAGTACGTGGGAGAGGGGGGGGGGGCTTGAGGTGGGAGGAGGGGATAGGTGGGAGGAAGGACAGGTTAGGAAGGCAGGGAAGAGCTGGGCTGGTTTTGGGATGCGGTAGAGGGAGGGGAGATTTTGAAACTTGTGAAATCCACATTGATACCATTGGGCTGCAGGGTTCCCAAGCGAAATACGAGGTGCTGTTCCTGCAACCTTTGGGTGGCATCGCTGTGGCACTGCAGGAGGCCCAGGATGGACATGTCGTCTGAGGAATGGGAGGGGGAGTTGAAATGGTTCGCGACTGGGAGGTGCAGTTGTTTATTGCGAACCGAGCGTAGGTGTTCTGCAAAGCGGTCCCCGAGCCTCTGCTTGATTTCCCCGATGTAGAGGAGGCCACAACGGGAACAGCGGATACAGTATGCACCATTAGCAGATGTGCAGGTGAACATCTGCTTGATGTGGAAAGTCTTCTCGGGGCCTGGGATGGGGGTGAGGGAGGAGGTATGGGGGCAGGTGTAGCACTTCCTGTGGTTGCAGGAAAAAGTGCCAGGTGTGGTGGGGCTGGAGGAGAGTGTGGAGCGGACAAGGGAGTCACGGAGAGAGTGGTCCCTCCGGAAAGCAGATAAGGGTTGGGAGGGAAAATTGTCTTTGATGGTGGGGTCGGATTGCAGATTGTGGAAGTGTCGGAGGATGATGCATTGGATCCGGAGGTTGGTGGGGTGGTACGTGAGGACGAGGGGGATTCTGAATTGGTTGTTATTGCGGGGAGGGGGTGTGAGGGATGAGTTGCAGGAAATGCGGGAGACACAGTCGAGGGCGTTCTCGACCACTGAGGGGGGGAAGTTGCGGTTCTTGAAAAACGAGGACATCTGAGATGTTTGGGAGTGGAATGCCTCATCCTGGGAGCAGATGCGGCGGAGGCGAAGGAATTGGGAATAAGGGATGGCATTTTTGCAGGAAGGTGGGTGGGAGGAGGTGCCCCACCTACCTACTAACTTCATCCCGCCCCCTTGACCTGTCCGTCCTCCCTGGACTGACCTATCTCCTCCCTAACTCCCTACCTACACTCACCTTTACTGGCTCCATCCCCGCCTCTTTGACCTGTCTGTTTCCTCTCCACCCATCTTCTCCTCTATCCATCTTCTATCCGCCTCCCCTTCTCTCCCTATTTATTTCAGAACCCCCTTCCCCTCCCCCATTTCTGAAGAAGGGTCTAGGCCCAAAACGTCAGCTTTCCTGCTCCTCTGATGCTGCTTGGCCTGCTGTGTTCATCCAGCTCTACACCTTGTTATCTCAGCATTTCAGTTGAAGTTGGTTTTTATAATCTTGAATTCCATTTCTGTTTACGAGCTCCAGGCAGACTTGGCTCTGCACGAGAAGAATTAAGTTGGAACATTAGCCTTAATTTGTAATTTCAAAATAAATTTTATTGCAAATCAGCAATTGGTCAGTGTTATGCTCCAGACAAATGAATTTATAACATCAGTTCTCTCAAAGCAATGAGGTGTCCAGGGTTAGAATTTGAATTACAGTTGTGTTTCAGTTGGTTCCACTAAGGGGTTAATTTTGTCCTGTTCACGTTTCCTGTGGAGAGAATTCTTCAACGCTGAAGAGGCTGTCTCAAATCGAATAGGTTTTCTTAGAAAATATTTGCTGAAGGGCCTGAAAGTCAAATCATTAATAATCATGCCCTAAATGACTTTCCCTCTGCAAGAAGTAAGCTCAAATTAGTGACCCAAAATTGCTAGGAACTTTAAGTGTGAAGAGTGAAGTAATCTAAATCTGGGCTTTGTAACTCCAGATGAAACTGATTCAACAGTGAAATATTTATTCCAATATTTCACCAGATTACCATCCAATCCAATGTATAAGTCACACGCCTCTTACACTGGGTGTGCCAGAAGCAACAGGCCAGTGAGTTTGCTTGTTTCAGTACAACAACCATTCTCCAAAAGTCACATATTATCCAAATCTAAACAGAACTGCAACTAAGTTTCTGAATTACATAATAATTCTGCTGTGATGTTATTGGGAATTCCGTTCTCAGTGGGAATACTTATCTGTCAGTTGAAAATTCCCACACAGCAGAGAGAAAAAGAGATACTGCCAGGCCTTATGTGAATGCTATCAGTAAATTTCCACTCATTGTGAATGGAATTTTAGTGGAACAGGGCCTATATTTGCATAACCAGATACCACCTATCATGCTTACTTGTTCCATGGGGGAGCCATGATTTCTGTAGGAAAGGCTAAAGTCTCCTTGTGGGGTCCTAAGCATCCCGTGTCATCAGCCATAAAAACAACAAACAAATTCTCAAACAAGCCTTTCAGGCCACTTTTTGCACCCATTCACTTTAACACGGGGTGGTTTCATGCTAGCCACCAGCATGAGCTATCTAGAAACCTCTGTATAATGTTGTTCAGAAGGGATTTTCTGGCAGGAACTACAACTAGTCTGTTCAAGAATCTTCAGACAAAGTGCAAGATGTCACCTTGTTTGAATTACTCAATCTCGACATTGCTGGTACACAAATCTTTGAAGACGGCAGGACAGGTTAACATAGCTCATGGGATCTTGCATTTTATAAGTAGAGGCATGGATCTAATACATTACGCTAAATGTAGATAAAACATCAGTTCAGTCGTATTGTGCTCAATTCTGAGTATTATACTTCAGGAAGAATGTGAAGGCTTTGGAGAGGGTGCTTCATTAAAGTGGTTCAAGGAATGAGGTATTCCAGTTATGTGGATAGATGGGTAAAAGTGGGTTGTTCTCCTGAGAGTAGAAAAGACCAAGAAGAGATTTGATGGAGCTGGGAAGGATTTTGATGGAATAAGTAAAGGGAAATGATGCAAAGGTTTAAGGGTGAATAAGAAGCAGGTACAGATTACTCAATGAGTGGTTTGGGATCGGAGTGCACTTTCTAATAAGGTCATGAAGACAGATTTAATAGATGCCTTCAAAAGAAGATTAGTTGTATCCTGTAAGGAGAAAACGCTGTATAGTCTCTGTGTGTCAAACAGTCTCCTTTCCTCCTGTGTTACAATTCTATGTAATTCTATCCAATCTGCTGTGATCAAGCTGTGCTAACCAGTATCCATTTTCAGGCAACACGATACTTCAAGCTTTAACCTGCAAACTAATATTTATAGCCATTGCATTTCTAAGGTACAGTCCATGTATCTCTGTTCACAGGCAAAAATCAGCTCACCCCCACCCCGAGCATTATTCCTATTCCCCTTTATGAAGAAAGAAGGGAATCAGAAAGCAGGAAATGCCAGGCTAGGTAGCCTAATAGGGAAACCACTAGAATTCATTAAAATTATAATGTGTTCAAGCAGAGACAACATGGCTTTGTGCAGGGAAAATCATGTTTAATTAATTAATTTGAGGAAGTAACAAGTAACACGATTAAAGGGGAAGCTATGGACGTGGGATATTTGGGTTTTCAAAAGTCATTTATAAAGTGCCACATCAAAGATTACTACACAAGGTAAGAGTACATGGTGTGGAGAAAACATGTTAGCATGGATAAAGGATTGGTTAGCTTACAGGAGGCAAATTATGGAAATATGAGTCTCTTTTGGGTTGGCAAGCTGTAAATAATAGTGCCACAGGAATTTGTGCTGAGGTCTCAACTATTTATAATCAATGTCAACAATTCTGATGATGGAACTGAGTGTATGGTGGCTAAATCTGACAGACACCAAGATTAGAAGGAAAGTACATTAAAAAGAGGAGGCAGAAACCTTGCAAAGGGACATAGTCAGGTTACGTGAATGGGCAAAAAATGTTGGCATGTGGGGTATAATGTGGGAAAATGTGAACTTTGCATATAATAGAAAGCAATATTCAATTTAAATAAGGTGCAAGGCTGGATGAACACAGCAGGCCAAGCAGCATCATAGGA